TCTCACAACCTCTGAGGATGGCTGCCATAGATATGGGCGAAACGTCAGGAGAGAATGCTTCTAGGACATGGCCATCAGCAACCCAATAATAATAATAATAATAATAATAATAATAATAATAATAATAATAATAATAAACCCAATTTTCCTAGTTTCTAACAGACCTCACAGCCTCTGAGGATGGTTGCTGTAGATGTGGGCGAAACGTCAGGAGAGAATGCTTCTGGAACATGACCATCAGCAACCCGATGATAATAATAATAATAATAATAATAATAATAATAATAATAAACCCAATCTTCCTAGTTTCCAACAGACCTCACAACCTCTGAGGATGCCTGCCAAGGATGTGGGCGAAACGTCAGGAGAGAATGCTTCTGGAATAATAATAATATAAGAATATAATAATAATAATAATAATAATAATAATAATACCCCGCCAGATAATCCAATTCAAAGCCAATAATCTAAACTTTTTGTATGGCAGTGTAGAAGGGACCTGAGAGTTTGGGAAAAGTTGGACACAAGAAAGAAAAGAGACAAAAAACACTGCTAAATTTTGGGGCGTGGGGGGTAAGCTTTCCACAAAAGGTGGCTAAAGAACCCTCGCTTTCGATCTGCAGGATCTACACTCGGGCCCCTTCCACACAGCTGAATAAAATCCCACAATATCTGCTTTGAACTGGAATATATGGCAGTTCAAAACAGATAATGTGGGGTTTTCCGCCTTGATCTTCTGGGATGTAGGGCTGCGTGGAAGGGCCCAGAGTCCACACGGCCATATATCCCATTTCAAAGCAGATAATGTGGGGTTTTCCGCCTTGATCTTCTGGGATGTAGGGCTGCGTGGAAGGGCCCGGTGTCTCCACGATTCCTCCTCGCGTGGCGGGAATCCTCTCGGCAAAGGCGCCCGAGCAGGTGCGGATCAAATAGTATTACATCCGATTAAAAGGCAAATTCTATTCCCTGTTTTCATTTGCCTTTATAAAGGGGGAAACTAAGTAAATGCGCCCGAGCGCTTATTGAATTGTTAACGCTTTTCAGGCCAATTGGGGAGGCGGGCAGGGAGCGTCTCCAAACTCCCGGCGCCCAGGTTGGGGAGACACGGGTTGCATCCCAAACACACACACATACACACAGAGAGATCCCTTTTTCCAAATGGTTAGTCTTGCTTTCACCAGAGATTAATACCAATTGGCAGCTGATTCGATGCCAGGCGAAAGGCAGAAGGAGGGAGGGAGAGAAGGAGGGAGAGGAAAAAGCGACCACGTAATTGCATTTAATTCCCGGCATCGAGCTATCGAGATTGGAGAGGTGTGTTGTTTACATGGCGCCGAGGAAGAGCAGCAGAGAAGCTCCACTCGAGCCTTTTCGAGGAGGAGACATTCCCACAGATATGTTATCCAACCCCACTTGCCTAGTTTCCAACCTCTGCGTTGATGTGAGTTTTCCGGGCTGTATGGCCATCTTTCAGAAGCATTCTCTCCTGACGTTTCGCCTACATCTACGGCAGGCACCCTCAGAGGTTGTGCTGTATCATACGGAAGCATTCTCTCCTGACGTTTCGCCTAGATCTATGGCAGGCACCCTCAGAGGTTGTGCTGTAATCATACGGAAGCATTCTCTCTTGACGTTTCGCCTACATCTATGGCAGGCACCCTCAGAGGTTGTGCTGTATCATACGGAAGCATTCTCTCCTGGCGTTTCGCCTACATCTGTGGCAGGCACCCTCAGAGGTTGTGCTATATCGTACGGAAGCATTCTCTCCTGACATTTCACTCACATGTATAAGAGAGGTATCCTCAGAGGTTGTGCTGTATGGCCATGTTCCAGAACATGGCCATCAGCAACCCAATAATAATAATAATAATATTTTTTTAAAAAACCCCCAATTTTCCTAGTTTCCAACAGACCTCACAACCTCTGAGGATGGCTGCCGTAGATGTGGGCGGAACGTCAGGAAAGAATGCTTCTGAAACATGGCTATCAGCAACCCAATAATAATAATAATAATAATAATAATAATAATAATAATAATAATAATAATAAACAACCCAATTTTCCTAGTTTCCAACAGACCTCACAACCTCTGAGGATGCCTGCCATAGATGTGGGCGGAACGTCAGGAAAGAATGCTTCTGAAACATGGCCATCAGCAACCCAATAATAATAATAATGATAATAATAATAATAAGAAGAAGAAACCCAATTTTCCTAGTTGCCAACAGACCTCACAACCTCTGAGGATGCCTGCCGTTGATGTGGGCGAAACGTCAGGAGAGAATGCTTCTGGAACATGGCCATCAGCAACCCAATAGTAATAATAATAATAATAATAATAATAATAATAATAAACGTAATTTTCCTAGTTTCCAACAGACCTCACAACCTCTGAGGATGGCTGCCATAGATGTGGGCGGAACGTCAGGAAAGAATGCTTCTGAAACATGGCCATCAGCAACCCAATAATAATAATAATGATAATAATAATAATAATAATAATAATAATAAGAAGAAGAAGAAGAAGAAGAAGAAACCCAACACACATTTTCTTCTCTATCTATCTATCTATCTATCTATCTATCTATCTATCTATCTATCTATCTGTCTATCCATTTATCTGTCTATCTATCTATGTATCTGTCTGTCTGTCTATCTATCTGTCTATCTATCTATCTATCTATCTATCTATTTATCTGTCTTTCTATCTATCTATTTATTTATCTGTCTATCTGTCTGTCTGTCTATCTGTCTGTATATCTGTCTGTCTATCTATCTATCTATCTATTTATCTGTCTATCTGTCTGTCAGTCTGTGTATTTATCTATCTATTCTATTAAAGGAGAAGTTAAGAAGAGAGGAAGGAAGGAAGGAAGGAAGGAAGAAGGCAGAGGGTGCATCTCGGCATTGTACTAAATCTACATTGTAGAATTAATGCACTTCGGGACCACTTAAACGGCCACGATGCACCCTGAGCGTTTGGAAAAACCTTCCATCTTCTGTAGTTAGGTGCCTTTGGGTGCCAAAGGGTGCCAAAGGGTGCCAAAGGCACCAAACTACAGATCCCAGGATTCCGGAGCATCCAGCCACGGCTGTCAAAGTGCTCTCACTCCGCATTGACTCCACGAAAAACGAAGCCGAGCCTCCCCTTCACGGCCGCATTTGTTTTGGGAGGGGAGGGATATTTACACTGAAAAAGGAGTTGGGGGTGGGATCGGGGCCCGTTTTGCATCATCCTGCGATCGGTGGGACTGAGGAAACAATCCCTTTGATCCCAAATTAGTCTGTCATCGGGGAACGGGCTGTTTTCGGATGGTGGGAACGGTTTGGTTGTTTCCAAGGGGGGAATCCCTTTGTGTCGGGTTCCAAAGGGAAGGAGGGAGAAGGAAGCCCCTCTCTCCTTCCTTCCTTCCTTCCTTCCTTCCTTCCTTCCTTCCTTCCTTCCTTCCTTCCTTCCTTCCTTCCTTCCTTCCTTCCTTCCTTCCTCATTTTTATCTTCTTCCACCTTCTCTTCTTCCTCTTTTTTCTTTTCTTCTTCTTCTTTGTCCTCTTTCTCTTCTTCCCAGCCGTCCCGAGTCCCTTTTTGGGAGATGGTGGCGGGATAAAAACAAAATTATTGTTATTATTATTATTATTATTATTATTATTATTATTATTATTATTATTATTATTATTCCTATTATTATTAATTATTATTATTAATTATTAATTATTATTATCCCTTTCTTCTTCTTCTTCTTCTTCTTCTTCATCCTCTTCCTCCTCCTGTTTTTCTTCTTTCATCTTTTTTTCTTCCTCCTTCTTCTTCTTCTTCCTCCTTTCTCTTCTCCTCCTCCTCTTTTTCTCTTTTCTTTTCTCTTCCTCTTCTACTCCTTCTTCCTCTCGTCCTCCTCTTCTTCCTTCTATTCCTCTTCTTCTTCTCTTCACTTCCTCCTCCTTCCTCTTCGTCTTTCCCCCCTCCTCTTCTTCTTCTTCATCCTCCTTCTCGTCTTCTGCTTTTTCTTCCACTCCGCCTCATCTTTTTTTTTCTTCTTCCTCTTCTTCTTCTGGGTTGTTGTAGGTTTTCCGGGCTGTATGGCCATGTTCTAAAAGCATTCTCTCCTGACGTTTCGCCTGCATCTATGGCAGGCAGCCTCAGAAGAAGAAGAAGAAGTATTGTCTAAGGCTGTCCATGAAAGCCTTCGACAATACTTCTTCTCCTTCTTCTTCTCCTTCTCCTCCTCCTCCTTCTTCTTCTCCTTCCTTCTCCTCCTCCCTTCTTCTCTTCTCCTTCTCTCCTCCTCCTCCTCCTTCTTCTTCTCCTCCTCCTCCTCCTCCTCCTCCTTCTTCTTCCCCTTCTCCTCCTCCTCCTTCTTCTTCTCTTCTTCTTCTCTTCTTCTTCTTCTTCTCTTCTCTTCCTTCTCTTTCCTTCTTCCTCCCCCTTCTTCTTCTTCTTCTTCTTCTTCTTTCTTCTCTTCTTCTTTTCTTCTTTCTCTTCTTCTTCGCTTCTTCTTCTTCCTCTTCTTCTTCCTCCTCCTCTTCTTCTTCCTCCTCTTCTTCTTCCTCCTCCTCCTGGCCCAGACGGGCTCCTTCCCGCCCTCTTTCCCGGGGTGAGTGAGTGGGGGGGGGGGGGAGGGCGGCCCACCTGACCCCCTCCCTTTCCCAGTGATGTCACCGCAGCCTCCCTTTGAAGGAGGCCTCGCTGGCGGCAGCCGTCAGCCAATGGGAGGCGAGGGGCTTGCTCGGGGTGGCCAATGGCAGCCGCCGGAGCGGAACCCGGATCCCCAAATGCCCGGGCTCTGCTTCAAGAGAGAGAAGGAAAAAAAGATGACACAGAACCTGTCGGGCCGGAGAAGCAGTCTTGGCAAAGTTTCAGTGCGGGACGGAGCGGGACCTTCCCGGGATCGCGGGTGAACAACAGCGAAGGGGGATCCCTTCCTTCCTTCCTTCCTTCCTTCCTGACTTCCCTCCCTCCCTCCCTCCCCCTCCCCCCGCACCGCCTAAAAGAGGGGGCTCGCGTGCTTCTTCTTCGCGTGCGCGGGAGGGGGGTCGCCTCTCCGCCGAGGATGGAGCCGCCCGGGCGCGCGCAAACCCCGCACGCGCCGCACCCGCCGCCGCCGCCACCGCACGAGCCCATCAGCTTCGGCATCGACCAGATCCTCAACAGCCCCGACCAGGAGGCGCCCCCCGCTCCCCCGAGAGGGGCAGACGCGAACTACCTGGGCAGCGCAGCCGGTGGGGCCAACGGAGGAGGAGGAGGAGCAGGAGGAGCAGCCGGAGCCCCCGCGGGAGGGCGACCCGGGGCGCCCTACCCGTCCTTCGCCGGGCTGGGCGGCCCCTTCGAGGACGCGGGATCTTACAGTGTCAACCTGAGCCTGGCCCCCTCCGGCGTGATCCGGGTGCCGGCCCACCGGCCCATCCCCGGCGCCGTGCCCCCGCCCATCGCCTCCGCTATCCCCGCCATGCCCGGCGTGCCCGGCCTCGGAGGACTCAACTTCCCCTGGATGGAGAGCTCCCGCCGCTTCGTCAAGGACCGGTTCACCGGTGAGGAAGGGAAAGGGGAAGGGGAAAGGGAAGAGAAAGAGGAGGGAACGGAAGGAGAAGGAGAAGGGAAGGGAAAGGAAAGAGAAAGGAAAGGAAAGGAAAGGGAAAGAGAAGGGATGGGAAAGTAAACGAAGGGAAGGGAAAGGGAAAATGGAAGGGAAAGAGAAGGAAAGGGAAGGGAAAAGGAAGGGAAGGGAAAGGGAAGGGAAAGGAAATGAAAATGGAAGGGAAAGAGAAGGGAAGGGAAAGGGAAGGAAGGGGAAGGAAAGGAAAAGAAGGGAAAGGAAAATGGAAGGGAAAGATAAGGGAAGGGAAAGGAAGTGGAAGGAAAGGAAAGGAAGGGAAAGGAGAAGGGAAAGGGAAGGGAAAGAGAAGGGAAAGGAAAGGAAGGGAAGGGAAGGGAAAGGAGAAGGGAAAGGAAAGGAAGGGGAAGGAAAGGAAAGGAAGGGAAGGGAAGGGAAAGGAGAAGGGAAAGGAAAGGAAAAGGGAAGGGAAAGAGAAGAGAAAGGAAAGGAAGGGGAAGGAAAGGAAAGGAAAGGAAGGGAATGGAAGGGGAAGGAAGAGGAAAGGAGGCACCTTTCACCCTGGAAGGAGTGTTTTGTGCTCTCTTGGAAAGAATAAGAATGACAAAAATGCCAGTCCCAGCATCACACGAGGAAAAATAAGTCCTCTACCTATCTCTATCTCTATCTCTATCCTATCCAAGGCTCTGGGTATTGGAAAGGAAATCAGAAAAGTGTGCGTGTCCTTTGCTCTTTCAAATTAATAATAATAATAATAATAATAATAATAATAATGTTCATCCCTTCATCATCACACTAGGGAATAAGAAATCGTATTTTACCCAAGACTCTGTTTATATTTTAATGGAGGAAGAAAGGGAGGCCTCCTTTCAGCCTATAAGAAAAAGTATGGCCACAGGTGTGTCTTTGATTTTATAATAATAATGATAATAATACCAATAATAATACCATCATATATATCTCACTTGCTGTGACATAGTGTGTTTTTGTGTCAGTAAAATAATAATAATAAATTAAAATTTTTAAATAGGATTTATGTTTATGTTTTATAATGTTTAATTTTGTTGTATAGTTTTTAATCATTTGGCAATTGAATGTTTTGCCCTATGATGGAAACCGCCCTGAGTCCTCTTGGGGGGAGAGGGTGGTACATACTGTAAATAAAGTTTTATTATTGTTATTTATTTATTAGTAGTAATAATAATAGTGCTCAGTTCCATCATCACATTAAACAACCCCTTATCCTACCCAAGGCTCTGCCTATTGGGAAGGAAGAGGGGGATCTCCTTTCATCCTGTTGGAAAAGTATGCTGACTGGTGTGTCCTTGGCTTTTGGACAATAATAGTAATAATAGTAATAATTATGCCCAGTCCCATCACCATCACACTAGGAATAAGAAATCATATCCTACCCAAGGCTCTATCAATGTATTGCAGGAGGAAAAGGGGAATCTCCTTTCACCCTGTTGGAAAAGTATGCAGACTGGTGTATCTTTGGCTCAATAATAATAATAATAATAATAATAATAATAATAATAATAATCCAGCATATATATCTCATTCACTGTGACATACTGTGTTTTTGTGTCAGAATAATAATAATAATAATTTTCCTAGTGTGGTTATTATTATCTATTATTATTATTATTAGTAGTAGTAGTAGTAGTAGTAGTGGTATAATGTCCAGTTCCATCATCAGCACAATAGGAAAATAAATCACACACATACACACACACACTCTCTACCCAAGACTCTGCCTACTAAGAAGGAAAAGAGGGACTCCTTTCACCTTGCAAGAAAAGTATGTTGACAGGTGTGTTCTTGACTCTGCGAAAATAACAACAACAACAACAACAACAACAATAATAATGACCAGTTCCATTGTCACACTAAGAATAATGAATTATATTCTACCCAAGGCTCTATTAAGGGAGGAAAAGGGGGATCTTTCACCCTGTTGGAAAATATAATTATAATGCCCAGTTGCATCATCATCACACTAGGAAAAATAATAAATTATCAACATCTGTCTGTCTGTCTGTCTATCTATCTATCTATCTATCTATCTATCTATCTATCTAAGGCCTAGCTTATTGGGAAAGAAAAGGAGACCTGTAAAGAAAGTAAGTTCACAGGCGTGTCCTTGATTCTCTGCTAATAATAATAATAATAATAATAATAATAATAATAATAATAATAATAATAATGCCGAGCCCCATTATTGCCCTAGAAAAAAAATAAGTTATTGAGATCTATCTATCCATCCATCCACCCAAGACTCTGCTTTTGGGAAGGAAGAGGGTATCTCCTTTCATCCTGTAAGGAAAGTATCTTCACAGGTGTATCCTTGACTCTCTGCAAATAATAATAATAATGCCCAGACCCATAAGCATGACACTAGGAAAAATAAGTCATCGATATATATGCTATACAATTTGTATGCTATCAATATGTAGGCTTCCTAAGGAAGGAAAAGAGGGACTCCTTTCCCGGAAGGAAAGTATCTTCACAACCTGTCATTGACTCTTTAAAATATTACTATTAATAACAACAACAACAATAATAATAATCATCATCATCACACTAAGAATAAGGAAAAAGGATCTCCTGTCACCTTGTAAGAAAAATATGCTGACAGGTGTATCCTCAACTCAATAATAATAATAATAATAATTATTATTATTACAATAATTATGGTGATAATAATAATAATAATCATGGAAGTCCCATTATCATCACTTGGAATAATAAATAATATTTGATCCAGGGTGTGTCCTTTCACTCTGTAAGAAAATTGTGTTCATAGGTGTGTCCTTGGCTCTTTGAATATAATGATGAGGATAATAATAATAATAATAATAATAATAATAATAATAATGTCCAGTCTCATTATCACCACACTAAGAAAAATAAGTCATATCTTATCCAAGGCTCTATCTATATATTAAAGGAGGGGAAAGGGGGGGGGCCCTCCTTTTACCGTGTAAGAAAAGTATGTTCATAGGTGTGTCTTCTTCTTCCTTAAAATAATAATAATAATAATAATAATAATAATAATAATAATAATAATCACAATACCAGTCCCATCATCCCACTTAAAAAAACAACAACTTTCTTTTCCAAGGCTCTGTGTATTGAGGAAAGAAAAGAGGGTCTTTTTTCATCCTGTAAGAAAAGTATGCTGACAGGTGTGTCCTTGACTCTTTAACAACAACAAGGACAACAACAACAATGCCAGCCTCATCATCACTAGGAATAATACAACCTATTCTACCCAAGTCTCTATGTTTTGAGGGAGAAAGAAGAGGGTTTCCTTTCATCCTGTAAGAAAAGTATCTTCACAAGTGTGTATAACCACTAGGAAAAAAAAACCCACCAGGAAAAAATAATAATCTAATAATAGTGAGGGAGAAGTGGGGAGGTCTTCTTTCACCTTGTCAGAAAAGTATGTTCAAAGGCCTGTGTTCAAAGGCCTGTCTTTGGCTCTCTTAACAATAATAGTAATAATAATAATAATAATAATAATAATAATAATAATGCCCGATCCCATCATCACAATAGGAAAAATAAATAATTAGGGGAAAAAACCCATATCTTATCCAAGGATACCTACTTTTTTGGATTGACAAGTGTCTCTTTGTCTCTCTTGGGAAACAATATACTAATGACCAGTCCCATCATGACACTAGGAAAATAAATCAAATTCTACCTTAGGCATATGCAGGGCTGATCGGGATAAATTGTAGTAAGGATAGGGAAATATGATGTATATATTCAGTTTTATCACACTTATATTCTACCCAAGGCTCTGTGTATTAAGGATGGAAAAGTATAATGACGGGTGTGTCTTTGGCTCTGTTTAAAACAATGTCCCAGTCCCATGATTACATTAGAAACCATTAATCGTTAAAATAAAATTCTATATTGTGGAAGGAAAAGGGGGTCTCTTCCTCTTGGTTGAGATGCAGCTTGCACCCTGTGAAAAAGGAATTTAAAAGGTGTCTCTTAAAAAAGAATAATGCTCAGTCCCATTATCATCACTCTAGGAAAAATAAATCATATTCTCTACAAGGCTCTATTTTGGGGGACTCTTCCTCCCTCTCTCCTTCTAAAGAAAGGCTGGCTGAAGTTCCCTTTTCACCTTGTATTTTAGGGCCCTTCCACACTGCCCTATAACCCAGAATACTAAACCAGAAAATCCCACAATATCTGCTTTGAACTTGGTTATCTGAGTCCACACTGCCATATATCCTAGCTCAAAGCAGATAATGTGGGATTTTTTCACCTGTGTGGAAAGGGGTCTTTCTCTCTCTCTAATAATAATAATAATAATAATAATAATAATAATAATTGGCAGAAGTTCCCTTTTCACCTTGTATCTGAGGGCCTTTCCACACTGCCCTATAACCCAGAATATCAAGGCGGAAAATCTCACAATATCTGCTTTGAACTGGGTTATCTGAGTCCACACTGCCATATATTCCAGTTCAAAGCAGAAAATGTGGGATTTTATTCAGCTGTGTGGAAGGGGCCTTTCTCTCTCTCTAATAATAATAATAATAATAATAATAATAATAATAATAATAATAATAATAATAATAATAATTGGCAGAAGTTCCCTTTTCACCTTGTATCTTAGGGCCCTTCCACACAGCTATATAACCCAGAATATCAAGGTGCGAAATCCCACAATATCTACTTTGAACTGGGTTATGTGAGTCCACACTGCCATATAACCCAGTTCTAAGCAGAAAATGTGGGGTTTCATTCAGCGATGTGGAAAGGGGCCTTTTTCCTCTCTCTCTCTAATAATAATAATAATAATAATAATAATAATAATAATAATAATAATAATAGGGTTGTAGGTTTTTTCGGACTATATGGCAATGTTCTAGAGGCATTCTCTCCTGACGTTTCGCCTGCATCTATGGCAAGCATCCTCAGAGGTAGTGAGGTCTGTTGGAACTAGGAAAAAGGAATGACCAGGGTGGGACAAAGGACTCTTGTCTGCTGTGGAATGACCAGGGTGGGACTCTTGTCTGCTGGAGCTAGATGGAGCTAGGAAGGGGCCTTTCTCTCTCTCTAATAATAATAATAATAATAATAATAATAATAATAATAAATCACACAGTGCTAGACGCTTGGGAAGTGTTCGAGTTGGGATTTTGTGATACGAAATCCAGCATATAGATCTCATTTGCTGTGACATACTGTTTTTGTGTCAGTAAAATAATAGTAGTAGTAATAACAGTAATGCCTGTAATTGTTGTCATACTAGGAAAACACTCGGATATGCTTTCCCGACTTTGTCAAAACGCATCCTGACCGATATTTATGTCCCATAAATAATAATAATAATAATAATAATAATAATAATAATAATAATAATAATGCCCGGTCCTATTATCACGTTAAGGAATATGTGTGTGTGTTGTCCAAGGTTGTGTATTGGGAAAGGAAAAGGGGTCTCTCTTTCTCTCTCTTTGTAGACTTGGAAATCCCCCTGGCACCTTGTGAAGCAAGTGTCCTAACAGGTGTGTCTTTGTCTCTCTTTTCAACAACAACAAAACAGCAATTCCGCTTCCCCACTTGATTCATAAATTGTACCAACCTGTAGCTTCCCTTTGAGGGTGGATCTACACCAATATATGAAATCCACAGCATGTGCTTTGAACCGGATTATATGGCAGTGTAGACTCACATAATCCGGTTCAAAGCAGACAATCCGGATTATATGACAGTATAGGTGCAGCTTGAGTGGATCTTTAGGAAAGAGGACACAAGAATTGTCCTTGGGTTATGTTATTATTGTTGTTGTCTCTTGGATTATATTGTTGTTGTTGTTGTTATCGCTTTTGATCCGTCCCGAAAGAGGTTCCTCATTATCCTCAGCTCCCTCCTCAATGCAGTTCTGATTGGGTTTCTCAGAGAGTGATAACTCTAAACACTACAACAAATATTGAACAAATCCCAATATTTTCATTCTCCTAAATGCGCTTTTCGTTTGATTTCAATGGGATTGTGATAGATTTGTGGAAGGCGAATTAATAGTAGCAAGTTAAAAGGAGAACTCATGGTTATGCACACCCAAAATGGGAACATTTCGAATCGAAAGCGAGTTAGAGGAAGGACCAGGAAAGTGTGGACGGTTGGGAAGGAGGCGCGGGTTTTCTAAGGAGCGAAACAAATCCCCCGACAAATGCATTTTCGGGCCTCGAAGTCTAAGGCATTGATGCCGGGAGAAAGAAAGGATAGCCAACCCCTTTCCCGACCCAGAAGAGGAGAAAAGGAGTGAAACATCATTCTATTATTATTATTTTTAAATTTCTATTTAGGTAACTCTATCAAACATATTTGAAAAGATCCCCCCGGAATCCTGGTGAAAACAAAGCCGCAAATTGCAAGGCTCTCAATGAACTGTCCCCCGAAAAGAGCAAAACGCCACCTCTCTTTCTTCCAGCCCCCTTTCGAGTTGCTCTCCTTGCAGCAAGGCCAGGCTGCTTCCTTGGAAGGAACCCTGGGATATCCCCCCCCCCCCCTTCTAGATTTGTAAGGAACTGATCCGGAAGACCGTCGGGTTTGTCCTTAGGGTGCTTTGACGCGCTTTCGGCGGGGGTTGGTGGCCAAGAGTCAGTGGAAACGGGCCACTTTCTTCAATACCGGTTTGAAAACGCATGAAATAGTCAGTGGAGGTGGGCCCAAGGGGAGCAGGTGGGCCTCCGGGTGTTCCGGCCCTGAAAGAGTTGACCAGCGTGACAAGGCCGCCCCTTGAGCCTTTCTCTCACTGACAGCCCTTTCTTTTTGCCTTCCTTCCCGCCTTCATTTCTCTTTCTCTTTTGTTTTTCTTCCTTCCTCTCTTTTCTTCCTTTCTTCTCTCTCTTCCTCTCTCTCATTCCTTCTTTTTCACTCTCTTTCTTCCTCTGTCTCTTTTTCTCTTTTCCTCACTCCCTCACTCTTTCTCTTCCTCCCTTCCTTCTCTCCGTCCTTTCTTTCTCCCCTTCTTCCTTTTTTCCTTTCCTCTTTCCTCTTCTTTCCTTCTTCTCTCTTTCCTTCCTTCCTTCTTTTCTCCTTCCTTCCCTTTCCTTCCTTCCTTCTTTTCTACATCTTCTTTTCTACTCCCCTTTCTTTCTCTTTCTTGCTTTTCTTTTCCTTCCTTCCTTCCTTCCTCTTTTTCTGACTTTCTTTCTCCATTTCTTACTTTGCCCTCCTTCTCTTTTTCTTACCGCTTTCTTCCTCCTTCCTCTTCCCCTTTCTTTCCTTCTTTTCTTCTCCTTCCTTCCTTCCTTTCCTTCCTTCCTTCCTTTCTCCCTTCTTTCTTTCCTTCTTCTTTTCCTTCCTCTTCCTTTTTCTTTCCCTTCTCTCTCTCTTCATTCCTTCCTTCCTTCATCTTTTCTCTCTCTTTTTCTTCCTTCCTCTCCATCTTCTTTCTCTCTCCGACTTCCTTCCTTCCTTTTCTTTTTTCCTCTTTCCTTCCTCTCCCTCTTCTTTCTCTCTCCAACTTTCTCCCTGCCTCCCTCCTTTTTATTTCTCTCCCTCCCTCTCCAATTTTCTCTCTTCATTCCTTCCTTCTCTTTTCTCTCTCTATTCCTTCCTCTCCCTCTTCTTTCTCTCTCCAGCGTTCTCCCTTCCTTTCTCCTTTTTCTTTCCCCCCTCTCTTTCTTCCAATCTCTCCTTCTTTCTTTCTTCTTTTCTCTCCTTTTCTTTCTTCTTTCTTTCTTTCTTTCTTTTTTCTGTCTTTCTTTCTTTCTTTCTTTCTTTCTTTCCCTTTCTTCCTCTCCTTTTTCTCCTCTTCTTTCTTTCTCTCCTTTCTTTCCTCTGTTTTCTCTCTCCCTTTTCTTCCCTCTTATTTCTTTCTTTCCCTTCCTTCCTCTCTTTCTTTCGTCCTTTCTCTCTCTCTCTTCCAACCCCCTTCTTTCTAACTCACTTCCTCCCTTCCGTCTTTCTTTCTCTCTCTCTTCTTCTTCATTCCTCCTTTTCCTCCCTTCCTTCCTTCCTTCCTTCCTCCTTCCTTCCTTCCTCCTTCCTTCCTTCCTTCCTTCCTTCCTTCCTCCTTCCTTCCTTCCTTCCTTCCTTCCTTCCTTCCTTCCTTCCTTCCTTCCTTCCTCTCTCTCTTCTTCCTGTTCTTTCTCTCCACCCCCCCTTCTTCCTCTCTTCCTCCTTCCCTTTTCCTCCCTCAGCGGCGGCGGCCTTGACCCCCTTCACGGTGACGCGGAGGATCGGGCACCCTTACCAGAACCGGACCCCCCCGAAGCGGAAGAAGCCGCGCACGTCCTTCTCGCGGGTCCAGATCTGCGAGCTGGAGAAGCGCTTCCACCGCCAGAAGTACCTCGCCTCCGCCGAGAGGGCGGCGCTCGCCAAGTCGCTCAAGATGACCGACGCCCAAGTCAAGACCTGGTTCCAGAACCGACGCACCAAGTGGCGGTGAGTGAGTCCCGCGGGGAGGGGGGGAATGAGCGAGGGAGGGGGCGCGCGCCACAACCAGGCCCCGCGCCACGCGCGCCCACTCCTTGGGAAACTCACCACGGTGCATTGAGCACCGCCGCCGTCATAGTATAAAATAACTTGGGCGGGGAGGGGGGTGGAGAGAAAAGTAACTTTCCCAAGATGTGGGCCTGCGGGCTGGAGAAGTTAGCAAAGTGAATGGCAGGGGGACATTTCTGGTTCACACGGATACCAATCTTTATTATCGCTTTGTTTGCGTTGCTATGAATTGATTCGATTTACTTTGGAAAAGAGCAAAGAGGCTGGTTGAATGAACCCGATTGCAGAGAAATTAATAATAATAATAATAATACATACATACTCGCCTCTCCTTTTGGTTCTGCTGAGGACAGGCTTAGGCTGGATCTACACTGCCACATAACATCCAGATTCTCTGCTTTGAACTGGATTATATGGCAGTGTAGGCTATGACCCTGTCTACATTGCCATATAATCCAGATTATTAAATAAAATAAGACATTTTCTGCTTTAGGCAATGTAGACTATGACCCCGTCCACACTGCCATATAATCCAGATTAAATCACATAAAACACATTTTCTGCTTTGAACCGGATTATATGAGTCCACACTGCCATATAATCCAAAGCAGAGAATCTGGATTATATATGGCAGTATAGAAAAGGTCTCATATAATCCATATAATGCCTTATACATCAGGATCGTATCCCAGATTATCTGGCAGTGTAGACTCACATAATCCAGTTCAAAGCAGATAACCTGGGATCAGATCCTGGGATATAAGGACAGTGTAGATCCAGCCTTATGGAAAAGGAACAGGATGGTAGAGGAGGAGTGGAGTAAGGCCAATGCAATTCTACCCAACAGTTTCACTATTCTGATGATGATTATCCTCATCATTGCAATAGTAATAATAATAATAATATGAATAATAAAATTAAATGATTGATAACCTAGTATTTCCATTGTTTAACATACACCAAACGATTGATAAAATAATAATACATAATTTGTTGAATACACATATAAATTTGATGATTAATAAAATAGTATTGAAATTGTTTAATATGCATAACACGATTAATAAAACAATAACGTATAATTTGTTGAATATACATTTAATATAAAACAAATGATTAATAAAATAACAATATTTAAATGGTCCAATATATATTAAACGATTAATAAAATAATGTTTACATTTTTTTCATAGAAATTAAATGATTAATAAAATAATAATGTTTAAATGGTTTCATAGACATTAAATGATTCGTGATATAACAACAACAATGTCAGCAAAGCCTTTTAGGCTGCAATTCTAGACGTGCTGCGTAATAATTTAATTTTTGAGACGAGTGATAACATTAAATGATCATAATATTTAAATGGTTTAATAGGAATAATACAATTAAATTATTATTAATAATATACTTTTTTGTGTCAGGAGAGACTTGAGAAACTTCAAGTCGCTTCTGGTGTGAGAGAATTGGACGTTGCCCAAAGGACGCCCGGATGTGTTACCATTCTGTGGGAGGCTTCTCTCACGTTCCCGCATGGGAAGCTGGAGCTGACAGAGGGGAGCTCACCCAGCTCCCCGAGAACCACCGACTTTTCGGTCCTGCGGCAAAATAATAATAATAATAATAATAATAATAATAATAATAATTTCAAAGCATTTGAGGTTGCAACCCTAGACTTGCTATGCGTTCTTTCTTTCGGTTGAAGTTTTGATTTATCAGTCGAGAGCAAACATCTCAAGATGGGCAGATGGGAATTCCCAGCCTCTGAGGATGCTTGCCATAGATGCAGGCGAAACGTCAGGAGAGAATGCCTCTAGAACATGGCCATATAGCCGGAAAAACCTACAACAACCCAATTCCCAGCCTTCCAGCCTGCCGCATCCTCTTTAAACCTCCTTTCCGAACGAGTTTTCCTACTTTTGCCACGAAAAAACAGGGATCTTTAAGTCCAGAGGCAAAGATGGCGATGCATTCCCCCTTCAGAGGAAAATAGCAACAACAACAGCAACAACAGTATTATAGTAGATAATAATATAATGTTGTTGTTGTTGTTGCTATTTTCCTCTGAAGGGGGAATGCATCGCCATCAGTAGCCTTTGCCTCTGGACTTAAAGATCACTAATTTTGTATTATTATTATTTTTGTCGTGTCAGGAGCGACTTGAGAAACTGCAAGTCGCTTCTGGTGTGAGAGAATTAGCCGTCTGCAAGGACGTTGCCCAGGGGATGCCTGGATGAATTGATGTTTTTATCATCCTTGTGGGAGGCTTCTCTCATGTCCCCGCATGAGGAGCTGGAGCTGATAGAGGGAGCTCATCCGCCTCTCCCCGGATTCGAACCGGCACATGGCTTTAACCTACTGCGCCACTGGGGGCTTCATTTTGTAATATAATATAATATAATATAATATAATATAATATAATATAATATAATATAATATAATATAATATAATATAATATAATATAATATAATATAATATAATATAATACAATATAATATATATATTTCAATAAATGTTATGAAACCTTGAAAAACATCTCCAAAGGCGTCGCGGTTTGAAAACAAACTTTCCTTCCTTTTTTATTTCCTTCCTTTATTATTTCCGTCCTTCATTATTTCCTTCCTTCTTTTCTTAATATTTCCTTCCTTCATTATTTCCTTCCTTCATTATTTCCTTCCTTCTTCCTTTAATATTTCCTTCCTTCTTTCCTTTAATATTTCCTTCCTTCTTTCCTTTATTATTTCCTTTCTTCCTTATTTCCTCCCATGATTATTCCCTCCCTTCCTTTATTATTTTATCCCTTCCTTCATTATTTCCTTCTGTCTTCCTTTAATATTTCCTTCCTTCTTTCCTTTATTATTTCTTCCCTTTCTTCTTTATCTTCTTCCTTCCTTCTTTATTATTTCCTTCCTTCTTTATTTCCTTCGTTCGTTCGTTTATTATTTTCTTCCTTCTTTCATTATTTCAGTCCTTCTTTCCTTTATTATTTCCTTCCTTCCTTATTTCCTTCGTTCGTTCGTTCCTTGATTATTTCCGTCCTTCTTGATTATTTCCTTCCTTTCTTTATTATTTCCTCCCTTTATTATTTCCTCCCTTCTCTATTTCCTTTCTTTCTCCCTTCCTTCCGTCCTTGCTTTATTATTTCCTTCCTTCTTTCCTTCTCCCAACTCCAAACCCTAAGTATCAAATCCTAAGCATCCTTCGGTTTACCTCTGTGATGTGCCTTAGTCCTAGTACAAACCCCGTGTTGCCAAGCGGCCTTCAAGCCACATTATATGGTCAGTGTAGATGTGCCCACGATTATGACGCATGTTGTATCTATGGCACATCGCCCCCACGAGCCCAGCATAGGAGGAACTGACAGTGTCAGCGGAGTGTTTGGAAAGAGAGTCTCGAAAGGAAACGGAGCAGAGAGACCGAAGGGGTGTGTAGGAAGGGAACATCAAAGTGGTCCAGAGGAACCCTTCCTAATGTGTCCTGCTTGAGATTTGGGGACTGAATGACAATTGAATGGGGAAGAGCGGGGATGCTTTGCCCCCACAGTGCGGATGAATGGGAGCCCCTTCCACTCAGCTGAATAAAATCCCACATGTTCTGCTTTGAACTGGGATATATGTCAGTGTGGACTCAAATAACCCAATTCAAAGCAGAGATTGTGGGATTTTCTGCCTTGATATTCTGGGTTATATGGCTGTGGGGAAGGGCCCTAAGAGATCCCTTTACAAATAATCCGAATCAATCCTAAGTACGGAAAATGAGGCTTTTAGAAAAGGGAATTCCTTAAACCTGAAACAGTTTATGTCTTGGGGCCGCTTTAATCCGGTATTCACCACTCGTAAGGGGTTGAAACCTCCCTTCGGCCCTTCGGGGAGAGAGGGCGGATTATAAATAAAGTGTTGCTGTTATTATTATTTTACTGACACCACAGTATGTCACAACAAACAAGATCTATATGCTGGATAATAATAATAATAATAATAATAATAATAATAATAATAATAATAATAATAACAACAACAACAACAACAACAACAACAACATAAAACATAATCTCGTTTGCTGTGATATACTGTGCTTTTGTGTCAATAACAACAACAACAACAACAATAATAACATGCGAAATCCAGCATGTTGTTGATGTTATTGTTGTTGTTATTATTATTATTATTATTTATCTGATTCGATTCAAGTCTCCTTGAAAGCAGCGCAATCCGGACGAACAGCCTGAAAGGATTTCCCACCCAATCGGAAGAAATCGGATTTGGGTTGTTGTGAGTTTTCCGGGCTGTGTGACCATGTTGCAGAAGCATTCTCTCCTGACGTTTCGCCCACATCTATGGCAGGCATCCTCAGTGGTTGTGAGGTCTATTGGAAACTAGGAAAATTGGGTTAATATATTTCCTAGTTTCCAACACATTTCACAACCTCTGAAGATGCCTGCCATAGATGCAGGCGAAACGTCAGGAGAGAATGCTTCTGGAACATGGTCACACAGCCTGTAGAACTCACAGCAACCCAGTGATTCCGGCCATGAAAGCCTTCGACAGTAGATTGAAATCGGATTTGTTTTCATTTAACGAATTTGTGGCTTCTGGCGAGGCCCCATCTACACTGACTATTTAATGCAGAGTCAAAGCGGTATGGGAGAAATTGGTTTCTCTGTGCAGACCGGATGGTGATCACGCAAAAACAAGAGAGCCCGGATGAGCGAATTTTAGTGGGAGTTTTGGCCTTCCGCACATCCCAGAATATCAAGGCAGAAAATCCCTCAATCTCTGCTTAGAACTGGGTTATCCCAGTCCTCACTGCCATATATCCCAGTTCAAAGCAGAACATGTGGGATTTTATTCAGCTGTGGGGAAGGGGCACTAGTTTTGAAAGAACACTGAATGGTCAGAGGAGAAATCCACCAGTAAAGCGAGATGGCAGTGTGTTTTTGTGGTGATGCACAGACCTGGTTGTTGTTGTTGTTGTTGCTCCAAGGAGGAAGAAGAGAAAAGAGACTCCTCAATATGCCTTTCCTGACAAGGGAGGAGGGGCCCCAGGGAGGCCTCAATGTGAAAACAGCCCAGGGCGATGGGGTTTTGTTTTTATTTGTAGGATTGGAGACAGAGAAGCCTCCCCTTGGGGTCCCAGCTGATCCCCACCCAGCCACCTGGACCCCTTCTTCAGGCCCACAGAAGCCAAAGACAGGGAGGGAACTGGTTGGAAAGGGGAACTCTCACCCTTCAGGCGATGGGAGGAGGATCTACATTGACTGAGCCCTTTTCTAAGGACTGAAAGGAAGCAATGGCCTTCTCCTTTCCCTCCTTTTTGATGGTACCCAGTTATCAGGAGCTATCTATCTAGTAGGCTTGGTTGATCCACAAAAAAATATGGTTCAAAGCTCGTTTGGGATGTAGGGGGCGCCGGTGGTTCAATTCTAAAGTCAATTCCCCTTTTCGAAACTTCTGAGACTTCTGAATCCTTTCGCTAATGGTTTGAAAGTATTATTTCTTGTTTCATTGGGTGGTCTTTACTTTGAAAGTGGTTGTTTTACTCCAGAAGCAGGGAAAAGCAAACAGAGGAAATTCCTTGCTTCTCTGGTTTAAAACTGGCTTCTCTGGCTTAAGCCAAGGCCAGGGACCAGAGGCAGAGAAAAAGCAAACGGAGGAAATTTCTTCCTGTTCTGGTTTAAAACTGGCTTCTCTGGCTTGATCTGAGGCTAGGGACCAGAAGCAGGGAAAAGCAAACGGAGGAAATTCCCTCTTTCTCTGGTTTAAAACTGGCTTCAAAACTGGCTTCTTTGGCTTGAGCTGAGGCCAGGAATTTACTCCCTTCTCTGGTTTAAAACTGGCTTCTCTGGCTTGAGCCGAGGCCAGGGACAAGAAAAAAAAAGGGGGGGGGGGAAGCAAATGGAAGAAATTCCTTCCTGCTCTGGTTTAAAACTGGCTTCTCTGGCTTGATCCAAAGCCAGGGACCAGAAGCAGGGAAAAGCGGAATCATTTCCGACTCACTTCCTGAGTCATAACAACAATGGCGGAAAAAGCTTCAGAAGGGCAAAGGGACTTCTGGTTTTAAAAAAAACTTCGATATTGCTTCAAAAAGGTAATTTTAATGAAATTATTACGAGCAATGAGTTATCCGAGCAACTGTATCCATGCCTTCTATTTAGCCCAGCTCTCTCCAAAAGTGGGTCCCCTTTCAAGGGGAGCTGGCCAAATGGTCAAAGAGTGAGTATACACATTGGATTTCAATCTAAATCTCATGGAAGTCCCATGAGGTTTAGATTGAAATCTAAATCTTCCAGGGATTAGAAAGCATAACAAACATCAGGGGTGTTAACCCTGCTCTATGATATTCAAAGCTTTTATATGTATATGTATATGTATATGTATAGGTAAAGGTAAAGGTTTTCCCTTGACATTAAGTCCAGTCCTGTCCGACTCTGGGGGGTGGTGCTCACCTCCATTTCTAAGCCAAAGAGCTGGCGTTGTCCGTAGACACCTCCAAGGTCATGTGGCCAGCATGACTGCATGGAACACCGTTACCTTCCTGCCGGAGAGGTACTTATTGATCTACTCACATTTGTATGTTTTCGAACTCCTAGGTTGGCAGAAGCTGGGGCTGACAGCGGAAGCTCACGCCGCTCCCCCGATTTGAACCTGAGACCTTTCAGTCAACAAGCCTGGCAGCTCAGTGGTTTAATCCACTGTGCCACCGGAGGCTCCATGTATATTTATATGTGTATGTGTGTGTGTGTGTATTTGGCTGGAGTTACACTTTTCATCTCTTCTATTGTTGCATTTGATTTATCTAATTTCTTATCTACTACTATGTTACAATATCCTGCTACTATAACCATTCCTTTACTCTCTCTACTTGCTTCTCCACCATATTGAAGAATTCATTCTGGCTGGAGTTACACTTAAAAGGTGTATGATGTATCTGTTCCGACTTACAAACAAATGCAACTTACGAACAAACCTAGATAATCTATCTATCTACCTACCTACCTACCTACCTACCTACCTGCCTGCCTGCCTGCCTGCCTGTCTGTCTGTCTGTCTGTCTGTCTGTCTGTCTGTCTGCCTGTCTATGGGAAAAGCTTGTTACTGTGTCTTTTTAAATTGGGAGCTTTGCTCCCTCAAAGTGAGCACCTTTCCTGAAACAGAGGCCCCATGTACACTGCCATATAAGATCCAGATTATCTGCTTTGAACGGGATTATTTAGCAGTGTGGAATCATATAATTCAGTTCAAAGCAGATAATGTGTGTTATCTGATTTAATAATCTGGATTATATGGCAGTATAGAAGGGGCCAGAGAAGGTCTATATATGACGGCCCCATGGGCACTTCTGCATTGTGGAATTAATGCAGTTTAACTGTCCTGGCTCAATGCTATGAAATTCTGGGAGTTGTAGCTTGACAAGGCCTTTCCCTTTCTCTGGGACACCTCCCAGGATGCCATAGCATTGAGCCATGGTGGTTGAAGTGGCATCAGACTGCATCCATGCTATGCTATGGTCCCAAGGTGGTCCAAAGGGGCTCAGTGAATGATTGGGGTGTTTTTTTTTGTCCTGTTTCCAGGCGGCAGACGGCAGAAGAGCGAGAGGCTGAGCGACAGCAAGCCAGCCGCCTGATGCTGCAGCTGCAACATGACGCCTTCCAGAAGTCTCTCAGCGACTCCATCCAGCCAGACCCACTCTGCCTGCACAACTCCTCGCTCTTTGCCCTCCAGAATCTGCAGCCCTGGGAAGAGGAGGCTGGCAAGATCCCACCTGTCACCTCCTTGGTCTGAGGAAGAGGCCAAGGCCCACAGAGACAGACAGACAGAGAGCAGGCCCTCCTCCCCTCCTCTCCCTGCATGACCCCAAGGCCTGGGCAGGAGGAGAAGGGGCCACCCCATTACCGCCTGCGAGGGATCCAGGAGGAAAGAGATGCCACCTTCCAGTCCCAGATTTCCCATTGTGCTTAGGTGTGCTTAAGCACAGAGCCCTCTTGGCCAAAGGGGCAATCTTCCTGCCAATGATGGATTTTGCTTATGTGGTGCAGTTCTAAATTTGAAGGCATTTTGTTTTGGAGCGAATCCAGACATAGTGATCGAGTTGATCGTCTATGGAAGTGTACCATATAGCAGGCAGTATAGGCCTACCAGGCCGACCTTCTTCAGGGCCCAAGGAAGGAAGAGGCCTCATAAATTAACTAGCACAGGCCTCATTGGTCTTCAATCGGGCACTGCCACCCTCTTGCCAGCCACAACCTTCCTTCCCTCTGCCAAGGACTGCCACATTGGCTTCAGACAGTCACCTTCCCTGCTCTGGCACAAACTTTTCAGCCTTGCCCTGATGTCACTGCATCCCCCTTTGGACTGGGGCCTGGTTGGCAAAACCAAGCACAAACCTCACCATTGGGAAAGACTCTGGGAAAAAGAAAAAAGGTGGGGAGGCTCCACAACCCTTTGCCTGGTCCCTCTGGCAGGGCTTGGTTCTCTTTCCCCTATGGCATGTGTAAGTGCCACCTTTGGTATGGAGGGGATGTTTTCTTTGGGGTGGCCTGATCCCCTCGCACAAAGACTTCTGCCCTTGAAGGGAAAGAATGGAAATGGGGTCTCTTTTGGATTGGGTTGATCCTTCTTTGCTTTTGGATGTGAATATGTATTTAATGCACCAAGATCCCCAGCGCTGTTAATAGGGAGAAAGACGACCTTGGTTATATATAGAATATATATATTATATATGTGGAAAGCTGAACAAATATTTAAAGTTGGTTGGGAATGGGATGGGGGAGTGCAGTGAGTGGGGGAGGGGATGAGGTTGCCCACGTTTACCTGGGCTGCTCCATCATCCAACTTCCCCTCCCTCCTGGAAAATAATTTAACAGAGCCAAGGACATTTATTATCTGGAGCTGAAAAGTCCTCTGCTTCCAGCTATTTCTCTCCCCAAGGCAATGCACCCAGTAATTTATTGCCTCCCCTTTCTTCCGAAGGAGGGCTTGTTTTTCAAGCAAAGTCAAGCCACCATATTTATTTTATTTATCTTATTTATTTATTTATTCTGGGTTTTGGCCTCAGTTTTTCCTTGTGGCAGGAAAGGAACATAATCACAGAAGGTGGTATTGGTGAAAGAGGTTGGAAAAACCACAGAGAGAGAAAGATGATCAAGAAAAGCAACCCCTCCCCATGCAGAGAGTAGAGAAAGCGCCTTACGTTTCATAATCAAAGAAGAAAAATATACTGAGGAAGCGTTGGAAGTTGATCCACACCGTGTATCATAGTTTGTACTTGCTCAAAGGTGTAAATAAATGTTTTCTTTAAAAATGTGTCTGGTCTCGGCTCTGATTATGAAATGCCAGAAGGACTCCAAACTTGGGTTGAATCTGGACTAGGACTACTGAATTGTTTCTTGACCATGGAAACCCATTAGGGTTACTCTGGATCAGTGGTTCTTAACTGTTGGGTGCGGACCACCAGTGGGCCACGAGGATGAAAATCTGGTCTGTGAGCCTCCTTCCTGTTTATTTTATTTCCACTCCTTTCATGCCGCCTCCCACTCCCTCCATATTGCTGAAATTCTGTATCAGAAACTAGAGCTGATGTAGTCCATCCAATGCAATTTTCTGAATCAGCACCCCAAGCCAAAGTTGACGAAAAACTGCTTTGTAACCCTTTTGGTACTAATGTTGGAGAGTGGTCCCTGGTCAAAGTAGTCCTTGATCAAGTGATCTCTGGTCAAAAAAGGTTGGAAATCACTATTTTGGACAACCCTAGCTGAACCAATTTTGCAGAGAAAACCCTGTAATGGGTTCACAATGTCAGAAATGACCTGAAAGCACACAGCAACACATCTGAAACAACTGGAGAGCAGTAGCTTGGGTGAAATCAGCTTGATGGTTCTTTCTTGTCTTTGAGGACAGGTTAAGGCAGTGGTTCTCAACCTGTGGGTCCCCAGATATTTTGGCCTTCAACTCCCAGAAATCCTAACAGCTAGTAAACTGGCTGGGATTTCTGGCCAAAACCTTGGGGATTCATAGGTTGAGAACCACTAGGCTAGGGGAATGTGTGGTTCTCCAGATCTTCTTAGACTGCAGCTCCCAGCACTCCTCACCAGCATAAGCCATGATGAGAACTGTAGCCCAACATCTGGACAGCTGGAATTCCTCACACTTGTTTTAGCGTGCCCAGGGAAAAAAAAGCAGTGGGTTCTTGATTCTTGTCCAGATTTTCCACACTCCTGAATGGATACTTCTGCACGGATGTTCAAAGATTTGTATTTTCTGAGGGCCCTTCCACACAGTCATATAACCCAGAATATCAAGGTAGAAAATCCCACAAGATCTGTTTTGAACTGTGTTATCTGTGTCCACACTGCCATATATTCCAGATTTTATTCAGCTGTGTGGAAGGTGGAGGAAAAAGCTATCTTTCCCCCAGTATGGGACTGGTGGTGGCTTACACCAATTAAAAAACCCCCACAGAGTTATACATTTACTGTTCTGATCCTCATCTTGACTTCTTAAAACAAAGTATTTGTGTTTGTGTTAGTGTGTGTTTAAATAATCAGTAATGCAGGACAGAAAGGGATTCTCAAATACTGGTCTTCCAGGATTTTGGACACCAGTTTCTAAAATCCCTGATCACTGGCCAAGGCAGCTAAAGCTTCTGTGGACTGAAGTCCAATACCCTGGAGGGACTAGTTTGGGAATCACTGAAAGTGCAAACCAGACTTTTATTCTGAAAGTGGAAAGCCATTAGACTTTAGTGAGCAAGTGAAGCCTCACAAAACTGAATGTTTCTCCAAGCAGGGAAATAATATCTATGTGGTTTACGAAAGCTAGGCCCCTTCTACACTGCCATATAAAATCCAGATTATCTGATTTAGATTGGATTATATAGAAGTGTAGACTCGTACAATCAGTTCAAAGCAAATAATGTGGATTACCTGCCTAGTGTGTTATGGAGAAGGCCAAACCATGATTTAGTGTAGAGCAGTCGTTCTCAACCCGTGGGTCCCCAGATGTTTTGGCCTTCAACTTCCAGAAATCCTAACGGCTAGTAAACTGGCTGGGATTTCTGGGAGTTGTAGGCCAAAACACCTGGAGACCCACAGGTTGAGAACCACTAGTGTAGAGGAAAGTAAATGGCCATCTTGCTGTCACAGACCCCCATTCCCCAACAGTTGTAGCCAGCCTGGTCTATAGATAACAAGGGTAGGGTTTATAAGCTTCTCCAGATCCAAAGGTAGGGTAGAAATAATGAGTGCCTTTGAGACAGTCACAACCTGCATTCTCCTCTGTCACTAGCTATTCTGGCCAGGGCTGCTGGGAGTTTAACTTCACCAACATCATGAAAACTGCATGACCCCAACTCTAATTTAATGCTTCTGTCTCTCACTCTGGCCAAGGAAGCTCTAAGCCCAAAGGATCTGATTCAGAAACACCCATCTCTCAAACAGCACACCTGAATGTGACAACTTCCTCATTTTTGGAGCAGGAGGATGAAGAAGTCCCAAAGATATGTGAAAGTACAGGTATGATGAGTACTTTGAGAACAAACCTGCATTCTTTCCACCAGGAAAAACATGTCCAGCTTTTTGAAGTATTTTTTTTCTGTACACTTCTATGCCATTTTTAGATTTTGCCTCCTCTTTTGCTCAACCTTGGGGGAAAAGACAGAAGAGGAACCCTTTAACTCTACTTCCATTTGACTAAGGGCCCTTCCAAACAGCTATTTAACCACAATATCTGCTTTGAACTGGGTTAACTGAGTCCACACTGCCATGCAGTCCTTGAGTGCTCTAACTGGAGGTCAGCTGTGACTAGCAGTGCTGTGGAATTCAAAGAGGCACGAATGGAGGATGAAAGGGAGAAACGTGCCAAGAGGAACATGTCAAGCCAACCCCAATTGGGACCGCCTTCCACCTGAGCACAGATGCCCTCATTGTGGAAGAACATGCGGGTCAAGAATAAGGCTCCACCATTGCCTACGTATCTACCACTAAGACTGCACTTGGAAGGTCATCATACTCAGACAATGAGAGATTGCTTAAGTAAGTACATAAGTAACAATCGTTCAATGTGGATTTTATGCAGCTGTGTGGAAGGGGCCTAAGTTGCATAGAGAAGTGACCTCATAAGCTAAATCTCTTGTAAATCTTGTAAATCCTCTGGTTTAATCTCACCATGAGATATGTGGAGAGATTTTGCTATGACTGACATTTGTCACTATTTTCTTCAAAATATGAAATTCAGTATGAAAAGTGTCTCCTTGACCATTCCTTAATGATCAAGTATAGACACACTTTATAAAGATTTACCATTGATCTGGCAGCAACAAATTATGTAGAATGAATGGAACTCAGGACACTATACGAGTTTATTTGCACCTTTTTTGTGTTTTTAGCCTTTGAAGAAGGGTTTTGCCTATTGAATCTTTCTATTGAATTTTTCTATGAAGGGGAACATATTCTGCAGGAATGGAAAAGGGGGCAGAAAAGAAGGGAAAACAACACAGTAGAAGAGAGAAAGCTGTGCCCAGTCCTTCATAGTGTGCCCACCTCTCCCTCTCCAGCACCTGACCCTGTACTGGAAAATGATATAAAATGGGCTTGTTTCTGAGTCACTTGTAATTTGAACAATTCCCTTGCTGCTTGAACTCCAGGGCTCTTGTGATAAACTGCATTTATTCTGCTTCATTGATCACCGAGTCTCTGCCATTGGATCCATTTCAGACTGGCTGTTTCTTACTGGATTTTTTTTAAAAAAAGAAAACTCTGAGCTCTTTAACAACAGTGCTGGATTTTATTTTACTTTACTAGAGACATGCTTTCTATTGTCTGCATGATCCATTGTAGAATTGCCAGACTGAAAACAGGAGAGAGCTCCTGCACCTGTGATCGTTGCATAGAAGAAGTGTCATTTGTCACACAGCCAGGTAACAAGCCACACTTGCTGACATTTCTTCTTCTACACAGCCATTAAAGACTCTGAGGCCCCGTCCACACTGCCCCCATATCCTAGAATCCGATCCCAGTTTATCTGGCAGTGGAGACTCATATAATCCAGTTTAAAATAATCTGGAATCAGATTCTGGGCTATAGGGAAGTGTAGAAGGGGCCTGAGTTTTGACTCTGGCCAACCTATTTGAAAAAGTCCTGAAGAGCAAACTGAGACATATTCAATTCTGTCCAGATATAAGATGCTCAATGAGTTTCTTTACTGCTGCATCTCTGTCTTGAGGATTGTAAACCAGAGATTTTTAATGTAGACTTTCAGTTGCTCCTCAATCTACAGTTCCCAACATTATTTATTTCCAAAAATTTTACCCCATCCTTCTCAACCCCTGAAGGGGGACTCGGGGAGGCTTACAATGGCAGTAATTTGATGCCAACAGTATATAAAACACATTACATACAACATTATACAAAAGATAAGACATTAGATTAAAATACATTTAAAACATTATTATTTCTCATACAACTTAATGCAAGTCTGATTTAGTGACCGATGACCCAGTCCAAAACCTGTCCTAGTCAAAATCCCAACATTATGATTACTGCCAAACTATCCTGGTCCCAAAACCATTTTTTGGGCTTCTTTCTAAAAGAGAGGAGGGATGGAGCCGACTTAATTTTGCTAAG